GTCTCTTGCTCAACTGCGCCCACATATAATAATCAAGGGGTGTTGCAGTCTGGGTAGTTAGGTGGCCAGATGTAAAAGGTGATGTGGTTGCAGAAATTGTCTAGCAGCCATGATTGGGTTCTCCTCCTTGTGTGGCATGGTCCATAGTCCTGTTACTAGACATATGGTCATCTAACAGCCACCCTCTTGACCCAGGGCAACACTCAAGGCACTTGATATAGGCTTCCATGTTGCAGCTGAGACTTTCACCAACAAATTCGGGAGTCCACTCAAAGTGAGTTTTCTGTGGTGCTGTACATTTGTAATCGCCATTAAACTCATCCAACTCTTTCCAAATACTCTGCACTGTCCTCGGATTCACACTCAAACACTCTGAAATGTTCGTATTAGTGCCTCTGACATTAATGCTAAGCAGTACAGTATGCTGTTTCTAAATTTCTGACAGAGTTAATTGCGTCATGGTGCTCTTTTTCTCACAGACGGTGCCCAACTGACCCTAGTATGCTCTGTAGTCAACAAAATCAAAAACAAACAGGGTGCATGTGAAAACTTATAAATATAAAAGGGTGACAATTTACCCATTGGAACCTGCAGAAGGATACTGAGAACACTATGGATGGAACTTGTAAGCGATAAAGTCATAAAGAAAATGGAAACAAGTACATATATTTTTTTAAAATTATGTACAAGACTCAAGAGACAGTAGAAGTAGTGTGTAAAAGGCATAGTTTATGTAGAGGAGATAACTGTTAAACTTTGACTTATACTCAGAATCAGAAAGTGGGAGTTCAAGTATCTAGAATACATAATGAGAAAGGAAAGTTTGGAGAATTTGCCACTCACAGGATATACCAAAGGCAAAAGGCGTAGAGGAAGGCAGCAGACAACTTACTTAATGAGGTTGTGTGAATGGATGATAGAATTGGGTCATGGAGACTTGGCAAAGGGAGAAAACATTACTAAGAGCTACTAGGGATAGGAGATTGTGGAGAGCCATGATCTCCTACATATTAAAGTGAAACAGCATGTGGAAGAAGAGAACTTCTATGACAACTTGAAATCATTTTCCTGTTTTCCCTATCAGATTTCTGAACATTCTTAAAATTGACTTGACCCAAAGAGATGTGAGTTCAATATCTAGCCACAGCATAGGGAACAAAAACTTGGAGAGTTGAGTTACTAAAGGGAATTAACTGATACTGAGATATCCAAAACAGGCATGGCACGTGGAATTAGAACAATCTACCTCTGTAGACTAAATAAAGGGTTCAGTTTTGAAATTATAAGAAATATCACCTGAAGAATGACAAAGCATACAATGGCCAAAATGTTGTGAATATGCCAATAAAGATGAGGACAACAGCCCAAACAATGTAAATAGTGTAAATAGTTACAATACCTCATCTCAGAAATAGAGACAGATGTTGAAGGTGAATATGGCAATAAAGATGAGGACAACAGTCCGAACAATATAAATAGTGTAAATAGTTACAATACCTCATCTCAGAAATAGAGACAGATGTTGAAGGTGAATATGGCAATAAAGATGAGGACAACAGTCCAAACAATGTAAATAGTGTAAATAGTTACAATACCTCATCTCATAAATAGAGACAGATGTTGAAGGTGAATATGGCAATAAAGATGAGGACAACAGTCCGAACAATATAAATAGTGTAAATAGTTACAATACCTCATCTCAGAAATAGAGACAGATGTTGAAGGTGAATATGGCAATAAAGATGAGGACAACAGTCCAAACAATGTAAATTGTGTAAATAGTTACAATACCTCATCTCATAAATATAGACAGATGTTGAAGGTGAATATAGTAATAAAGATGAGGACAACAGTCCAAACAATCTAAATAGTGTAAATAGTTACAATACCTCATCTTAGAAATAGAGACAGATGTTGAAGGTGAATATGGCAATAAAGACGAGGACAACAGTCCAAACAATCTAAATAGTGTAAATAGTTACAATACCTCATCTTAGAAATAGAGACAGATGTTGAAGGTGAATATGGCAATAAAGACGAGGACAACAGTCCGAACAATATAAATAGTGTAAATAGTTACAATACCTCATCTCAGAAACAGAGACAGATGTTGAAGGTGAATATGACAATAAAGATGAGGACAACAGTCCAAACAATAAATAGTGTAAATAGTTACAATACCTTATCACAGAAATAGAGACAGAAATAATGTTGAATTAAAGAATCCAATTCAAAATAAAGGTGAATGTGTTTAAGTGCTCCCTATAAGACAGTATTAGATTAATAAATGAAAAAAGAAAAATCTGAAAATTTTGTGATGCATTCTTAACATTTTTCTATTTTGTTATTTACCAAAATGCATCACAAAATGTTTTCCTTTTCTGATTTACTAATAAGATTTAGTATTGCAATTGTTTTTAGATTTTTTTCTCAAACACCACAATTCAAAAAGTTGTTATTAATCAAAATGAGGACAGATATTATAAGCTGAGCCTCACCCCTTATATTGATCATGTAAGTATATCCGTAAACATTTACCAATATCCATTGACTTAAACCAAATTCATGAGACCATTGACTCAACTGACAAAAATTGACATTGTTGATCTCTGATTAATACTCACTGCAGAATTAAGTGCATTGTCAAGGAATGAGATTATGTTGAAAAATAAATATTTCTTGTGTAAAATGTATGCTTTTTTCATCATTAGGCTACAGATTTATTGATGTACCTACATATTCATAACCGAATTAAGTGCATTGACAAGGAAATAGATTATGTTTAAAAATAATAATATATTGGATCAATCAACTGATGCTTTTATCCACTGGGCCAAGTGACTTGAACCAAGGAGTTGTGAGTTCAATCCCTGGCCACAACAGAGGGAACAAAAACTTGTAGAGTTGAGTTATCCAGTGGAATTAACTGAGAGATATCCAAATATATGGCACATGAAATTAGAACAGTCTGTTGACCATGTTTGCCGTAGTCTCTGAATATGGAATCCAGTCCGTAATGTGTTCAATATCAGAGGTTGGCAGTGAAGATTCAGAGAAAGTAACGGCTGTTAAGTAATTCTTTAAGTCTTTGATATCAGGTTGGCAGTGAAGATATTTTTGGGAGAAAAAACAAAATGGCTGCCCTTATACGCGTTGCATTGAATATTTTGAGCTTTCTGATTGGTTAACCCTTCTATTGGTGAACTATAAAATGAGTCAGCTCATTTTGACTAGCTCATTAGTACTAACGTACCCAAAAATTCTAACACAGTCTACGCCTATGGATTAAATAAAAAGGTTCAGTTAAAAATTTCAGCAAATATTACCTGAAAAAAAAGGTTGGAGCATACAACAGCTGAAACGTGAATATGGCAAGAAACTTGAGGCCAACTCTCTGAACTACGTAAATAGTGGAAATATTTCTAATTTCTTTTTCTATGCAGATTATACTACTTCATTTATGTGCTGTATACCTTCAAAATGCTAGTGATCACAGCTTTTCACAGTTTCCTTTCCCTTTTAGCTCTTAATTACGTTTATCTTTTTACCATCTTTCCTATACCCTGCTTTGCAATCCATTCACTGAAGCTCACCAGCTAGGTTATATGTTGCTTTCCTCTGGCCCTGTTACCTTTTATCTGCCTTATGACTATCAAATTTTCCAAGCCCTCCTTCCTCATTATGTGTCCAACAAAACCTCAACTGTCTCTTCCTGATGTTAAGTATAAGTGTCATTTTTGCTGCCATTGTCTCTAGAATGTTGTTGCTCACATGTTCAACCTATGGTATTCTCAGCATCCTTCTGTAGAACCATATTTCTGTTGTTTCATGTCTTTTATTCATCTGTGAGGAGATTGTCCAGCATTCACTGTCATATATGGTGACTGATAATACATAACAGTCCAGTACTGTTTTCTTTGTTTCTAATGATTTTTCTATTTCACTTGAACTAATAAAAGAGTTTTATAGGCTTGGCAACAAGAGCAACTCATGCGCTAAATTCATATCAAAATCTGAAGTGAAAAAGAAATCAAATTACATTAAAAACATACAGAACGATAAAACTTATCTTTTGGTAAATGTGTATTTGGAAATGATTAATTCTTGAAATATCTTCATAAAGTTTTTGATCTTAATACAATCAGAGCTGAAAAACATATAAGAAAATCCCATAAAATCTTTATCTTTACAAGAGTCAGATTAGACAAAACATGGAACTTGCTACTAAATCCTCACATTTACGCCGTCTTGAAGGGGAAGATTTATCCCTCTCTATTGCAATCTCTTTTTCACGGAAGCAGCAGCACAAATCTATTGGTACTCAATCGTTATTTCCATAGCAAATGTTCAGATGACTCATTTTTTAGTTCCAACTTTTCACTTCTTTTCACTTTGGCCATACAATTTCCATGGAGCTGTATCATACTAATCTACTTTGTGTTCCAAATGTTAGAAGGAACTCAAACAGTTGATGGCCTTGGGAAACTTATTTTCCTGAAAACTGTTTTAAGAGAAAACTTTATAAATTTCAATCTACTCTTTGGTCAACGGATGCTGAATGTTTCCTTATAATAAAGCAGCTAAACTATCAGCAATATACAACCATCTTCCCAGATCAAATGTTTTGAAATGAATAAATTCTTCAAGTCTTAAAAAAGACAATCTTTTATCAGTGTCAACAGACTGGTGCTACAAAATCCCAGAAAGCTTTACAAAACAACCAAAATTATATCTCTTGCAGAATTACAGAAGCAACAACAACTAAATTGGATAGCACATACAACTAGAAGGAAAAATAAGAATTCAATCAAGATGTTAACTTTCCACACTACCTTAAACAAAAGGTTAGGAAGGAAACTCCAGAGGTATAACATTTAATGGACTTAAAAAGTCTAATTTACTGAAGAATTATTTTCAGAAAAAGATTTTATAGATTTCAACCAAGAGTTTTACTGTCTAGTCAATGAATGCCAAATTCTTCTTGGCTTACAGCCACATCCCACTGAACCACTGGTTCCCATATGATCACTGAAGTTAAGCAATGTCAAATCAGGGCAGTACCTAGATGAGTGACCTCTTGAGAATACCAGGTGCTGTAAGCTTGGATGTGTGCGTGGTATCATAATTAATGGCTTGGAATTGTTAATCAAAGAGCTGAGTTCCAATTCTTGCTGGGTTCATTATGTTTACTTACATGCAAATACTATTGAGAAAGGTATGAATCCACCTCTTCTCCCCTCATCTATGGGTTAATTAGTAAGACTTGTATCACCAAACCATTATTATCTCCAAAAATAAAATAAAAATTACATAAAAATATTTAGATTTCAACATTAAATAACCCATTGAGTTATATGTCACTAAACATAAAACAGGAAAATTTTGTTAGAAATAAAAAAGAGTGCTCAAATGTGATGTAACATCAGTCCTCCTATTGTATTAAGATCAAAAACTTTATGAAGATATTTCAAGAATTAGTCATTTCCAAATACACATTTACCAAAAGATAAGTTTTATCATTCTGTATGTTTTTAATGTAATTTGATTTCTTTTTCACTTCAGATTTTGATATGAATTTAGCGCATGAGTTGCTCTTGTTGCCAAGCCTATAAAACTCTTTTATTAGTTCAAGTGAAATAGAAAAATCATTAGAAACAAAGAAAACAGTACTGGACTGTTATGTATTATCAGTCACCATATATGACAGTGAATGCTGGATAATCTCCTCACAGATGAAGAGACTTGAAGCAACAGAAGGATGCTGGGAATACCATCAACTGTACATGTGAATGACAATGAAGTTTTAGAGAAAATGGAAACAAAAAGGACAATCATACTTAACATTAAGAAAAGATAGAAATTTCTAGGGTACATAATGAGGATGAAGCTTGGCAGCCTTTAGTGAAAAGATGGCCGAGCAGAGTTTGTGAGAGATAGCAAAAAAAAGACAAAAATTATTAAGAGCTACAAATGTTTATGCTGCTAAACATATATATTGATATGCCACTAAAGAAAAACAAATCACCAACCAAATTCTTCTTGTATAGAAATGACTAATTTCACTATTACTATTTCACAATATATATCAGCCATCTTTTCCTATGTTACATTTTTTTTTCTACCCAGAATTCCCTTTGTAAGTAGTTTCACTGTCTTTAAGTGATTACAGATTTTTCCATTAAACAGACTATGAAAGAAATAATAAATGCAACACTAAAAAGTAATAATAAATAAGTTAAAATCTTCCAGGCTTAAAAGTTTTCTGCAAAATTTCTTTTCTGATATATCTTTCTTGGTCAGTTATTATATGTAGCCAGAGTTTTTAATAGAGATGATCAGCTACTTAAAAAAAAAAATATTATTTATTGGGATTTCTAAATTCTGCAAAGAAAAAAAACATAAAAGGAAACAAAAATAGATTAATTGGGATTTTGTCTGAAAAAGGTTGGAAAACTCCGAATGAATGTGTTCTCATGGTTAAAGTCGTAGACAAGATGAAAAAACTGAAGCATTAAAAAGTTTCCGCTGGTTTAAGGTTTTAAGCATTTTGGGAAGATTTTTTTTTCTTCTCCAAAACTTTATTCTTTTCCCTTTTCATAATACTTCACAAATTTCTTTAAGTATGTAAATTTTATTAGAAACAAACAATTTTTCTCTCCAGAATCTATCTTACATATTTATAAGTCTACCATTCATCCATGCTTAGAATATATGCTCCTGATATATATTTAGAGATTCTTGATAAAATCCAAAGAAGAATCATCAATATTATTAGTCCTGACTGGGCATCTCAGCTTCAGTCACTTTCACACCACCATAAAGCTGCCTTCATTTGCCTTTTCTTGAAATACTTTCATGGTAATTTTCCAGGTGAGCGCTCTCCATTATGGTACCTAGACTTTATGAATTTATGTGCAGACTTGTGACGACCTCTCATCAATTTACAGTGGAGATGGCTAGATTTAATGATAAGTTCTATGTGAGCAGTGTCTTTACTCCCACTTCTTGCTTGTGGAACCCTCTTCTGGCTCCATGCTTTACAGCCAACTCAATCTTCAAAAATTTGAATGCAATGTCAATCGTTATCTACTGTCTTCCTCATTACTCTTCTATTGTTCTCGTTCCTTCGTAATGTTTCTGTTTTCTAATTCTTTCACACCCAGTAACCCCTTGTGTCTTAGTGGCTTTACTACCTTGTTTGGGGTAAAAAAAATATAAATTTATCTTTTTGAAGGAACAGGTTATCTCATTATAAAAAGACGCATTGGAGTTCAATCTATTAAGGTAATGACTATACAGTTAAAATAACATTTCTCTGAGAATGAAATGCAGAGTTTTATTAAAAAAAATATTTCTATGTTTACCAGATGCAATATTCACCCAATGAAGATTGGAGAACTGCCAACAAGGATGTTATCAAAGGTGATGATACAAGTGTAAATACATAATTAAGTTTTGACGATGACCCAGAAGATTATGTAAATATTATCAGTTAATAAAACCAAAATGCTGTACACTTGAGTGTTTTTCAGATACAATTAACAGGATTAAAAATTTTCATATTAATTTAAATCATGACATCTATCTGTGTAGAAAATCTTGTAAAATAGATCCCAGCTCATAACTTTTTTGTACCACCAAATAAAGAATTACTTGGCCGAGAGAGTGGATCTACTGCAGTGCAATTTTTTTCAAATTTAAATTTTTCCCAACACATTCACTCTGCATAACTGACTCCTGATGCTATCCTCTTCCTTTACAAGGGCCAGATCAGGACTAAAATGGAGTGCTGCTGTCATATTTGGACAGGAACTGCCCAGTCCTCACTTTCCAGTCAGGACAGAGTCCAAAAGTGTTTCTGCGTCTTTGTGGGTGACAAACTACTTTCCACCCTGCAACCCCTCTCTCAGACGAGAGATGGCAAACCTCTCCCTGTTCTATTGCTAATTCCATGAAAAGTGATTAGAAGAACTACATTCTTTACTTCCACCAGTTCTAACCTTTATGACCAGACATGCTACGTGCATTGCAACAAACCATCTACATTTCTTTTGTATTTGATTGGAGAGAAGTAAGTTCCACTTAAGCAGCCTCTTCCTGCAAACCACTACTCTGTGGAATCCACTCCCAAGAGGATGTTTCCCCGATCACTGCCTGTTCAAGTATAGAGTTAGCTGTTATATTCCCCACATATCCACATAAGCAGTGCCTCTTACACTGTAAGATTTAATGATAAGTTCTATGTGAGCAGTGTCTTTACTCCCACTTCTTGCTTGTGGAACCCTCTTCTGGCTCCATGCTTTACAGCCAACTCAATCTTCAAAAATTTGAATGCAATGTCAATCGTTATCTACTGTCTTCCTCATTACTCTTCTATTGTTCTCGTTCCTTCGTAATGTTTCTGTTTTCTAATTCTTTCACACCCAGTAACCCCTTGTGTCTTAGTGGCTTTACTACCTTGTTTGGGGTAAAAAAAATATAAATTTATCTTTTTGAAGGAACAGGTTATCTCATTATAAAAAGACGCATTGGAGTTCAATCTATTAAGGTAATGACTATACAGTTAAAATAACATTTCTCTGAGAATGAAATGCAGAGTTTTATTAAAAAAAATATTTCTATGTTTACCAGATGCAATATTCACCCAATGAAGATTGGAGAACTGCCAACAAGGATGTTATCAAAGGTGATGATACAAGTGTAAATACATAATTAAGTTTTGACGATGACCCAGAAGATTATGTTGAGTGGTTCCCAGGTCTTGTACATGGTGAACTTCACTGTAAATAAAATAGCCTTCGAAAAGGCATGAATCCATCTTTCTTTAGCAATGGGATAAATAGCAGGATATAGAGGGTTATCTTGATGTAGGTGCTGGCCAGTCCAGGAGAAGGAAAATTCTGAATTCAAAACCCTATTCTGATGTCAATATTTTCAGGAAAAGAGAAAACTAAGGATTAAATATCAGCGAAGCATTAGATAATAAATTTATAATGAGAACCATTGCCCTGGATATATCCAAGTCCATTGACAATGTATCATCGGAAGCCCTAAAGATCAATGCTGACCTTTCAAAAGATTCTTTCCTATGTCCTACCCTCTTTCTACTGGATATTAATAATCTAAGAGCCTACTCCAATCATTAGTGAGTATCTATGTGGATGATACACCAGTTTACAGGTGCACCTCCCAAAATCTGAAAGCTCAGTCTGATGGCTCAATGAGGATAAGACCAGCTTGTAAAATTCAATAAAACCAAATTAATAACATTCTTTCACCATCAAGCAGACCCCAGACCTATTATGAAGAATACGTGTACTCTCAAGAAGGGTCCTTTTCTTGAACTTCTATTTCGATTCAAACACACCCCAGACCTCAAATGGAATTCATATATCTAAATATAATATTTAATTGAAACTATAAAATTGTGTTCAAAATATTTAGATTTCAGCATTAAATAACCTATAGAGTTTGATATGCCGCTAAACAAAATCAAACTACCAATCTTATATTCTAAAGATAAGAACCACCTCTAATTTGTACAGTATTCCAAGAACTATACAAAATAAAACACATACTAACAAACTGTAGTAACTTCACCTAAATCTGGTTAAAATACTAGTAAACAACTCACAGGAAAGACCTCTTTCATGACAGTAATCCATATAATATTCTACAATTTCTTAAGTCAAACTGTATTGCAAAATATAACTACAATATAAAACACACATTACTGCTTGTAGTAATCATGTCCATACAAACATGTATATGTACGAAATCTGAGTATCATCTACCATGTATTCAATTGTGAAATCAGAATAACATATATTTATTATGTCAAACTCTCAAGAAAATTAAATTTTGGCATTGAATGATTGTTATATGCTGTACCTATGAACACCAATGGATATATCCCAATCCTCATAACTACATTGGACACTATTGTAAGTGTGGGGGGGGTAATATGGTGTCTATGTAGTCCACAACTAGCAGTGGTTTACCTATTTCACGCCGCTGGCGAGTATTATATTTTGGTGATGTTATAAAGATTATCATTCCATTTCTAACCTCCGTTTTGGTTATTCCTCATTCAGTAACCC